TTATTATTACATCATTATTATTTATTTATTGTTATTATATTATTTACTATTCATATCATTATTTACAGAATTTCATTCATTATTATTATATTATTTTTATTTCTTATTATTATTATATTATTTACTATTCACATTATTATTTACAGAATTTTATTCCGCGCGAAAAGAGAACAAACTTTTGCATGAAACATGTTTTAACCGGGGATCTTATTTTACAGGGATATTTAATAAAATAAACAATTTATTTATTTATGAAAATTCTCTATTTTTCTTTGTTCTGCAGGATGAGCATAAATACTCTCCAAATAACTTTCGAAGCGATAAAAAAAATATTAAATACAAAACAGTTGTATCTCCTCTTTAAATCGAGTAACTTTTGTGCATTTAACATTTCCCCCGAAAAAGCATTGTTCACGAGCTACTTATTTTCAACGTTTTAAATAGATTCAAATAACAGAAGTGTCTCATGCTTTCACACGAACGTGTTTTTCTCACCATAAAACACACCTAACGTCGTACCTTCGCACCGGCATAACGACTGAAAATGCTACTCGAGCATCGATCACAATATTGTACAAACATAATGTAATATAGAAACAAATATTTTTTCCCCCGTGCAAATTGCTCCAGGAAATATCGTGTTCGCGGGAACCGTGACAAAGGCTTTCTAAGAACGGGACAAAGTGTCTTGTAAGAGCGATGAAGCAGAGAGAAATGGTACGTTTCACTCCCGGGAGCATTTTTACTTGGCTCGTGACAGTTGGCCCCAGTCGAGATCCAAGAACCACGCACACCTGTAGCGTCACGAACGAGAAACTATGCAATTAAAAATACACGTAGCCGCGGGAACATCTGTCGCTGTTTTGCGCCGGGCGCCGCGACGCCCGCCCGTGTTTCTACGCGAGCCGATTCTCGCAATTAGGGACAGTACTGAATCATGCTCGGCATGCTCTCGATACATTTATATTTGAAACTGACGTTCGTGTACGTATCGTACGCATCAAACCATCGTGCGCAACGTTGCAAAGCAATCGGGATCGTATTGAAACGAATAACCGTCGCATAAATATGTATCAGTTCAATTTGTTTCGTTTATGTTTAATTGTAATTCACAGCTTTGATACGAGCGAGAGAGAGAGAGAGAGAGAGAGAAATGCGCGATCACGAAATTTTATGTAAATCCAAATTTTCGTAGATTGTTTTATGAAAGCCGGGATGAGATATTGAATTTATTAATTAGAAAGTTTATTACGACTACAATAGAATAACAATAAAATTGTGTAAGTATCATAAATCCATGAAGCTTTACAGTTCAATGACGGAAAATAGGACGTTTTATTATATTGTATTATTATATTATATTACATTGCATTACATTGCATTACATATTACATTACATTACATATTACATTACATTACATATTACATTACATTACATTACATTACAGTTTAAGTTTTACAGTAATGTAAAAGCTCCTCCATTTTCAAATTTATCATACAAATTATTGCACAAGCGAGAAACGACGGATTCCTGAGATCATTTGAAGCAACTTTTTCCTTAGCGAAAATGCAATCCGCGGCTTCGTTTACGAGATATTAACGAAAAACACTGACCAATCGCAGCGCGAGTGCGGCCGGCGCTCCGCCCTTGCGGCCAATGCCGCGTCGCGCCGGCCGTGCTACGCAG